TAAATTTCTATCACTATTAAACCTGTGTTATAACTTTATCAGTTTACAAATACAATAGTTTATATCAAAAAATTATCGATTCTAATTCTTAATCTCTCACATCCCTCATTTTATACCAAACTCATTTATTTCTTCTTCCACTATACAACAGATATCTTAATAGCAATAAAATATTGATCAGCCCTATATATATGTAATCCCAAAGTCAATCCATCTCTTTAAAATAACAAAATAATACTAAACCTTGATTCATTCATATTCATTAAACAAAGTTCAATTTTTCTCCAGCTTATGATGCCTTATCATGTCTTTATTGTCATACAAGAAATCTATCCTAGTAATTTAAAACATTCCATAAATTATTAAAAGCATCCCAATCTAAGCAGTCATCATTTTTGCAATTCCAGTAAATAGTAAATTTCATATATTTCCCAAACGCTACATAGGTACAATCCAATACATTCTTAATCTATGTAAAATATCTACCCTTATAATCACACTCCTATATGTATATATATTTAGTTGCTTCTAACTGTGAATCTTAGTCCTTAAAACAATCCATAAATCCAGTATTGCCTTTTATTCCATTACACAATTTTAAATTTCTCTTTTAAGTCTAATTCTAGGTTTTTTCCTGTACCAAGTAGGTTTCCATAAACACGCTTCCCTTTCAATCAATAAGTCTATTTTTGTTGCTTGGAATGGCCTTTGAAGAAATAAAAGTCCCATCCTCTGCATCAGACGTCTGTTTTTCTCCTCTTTAAAATATCGTTGCTTTATAATTTCAAATCTCAGTCCTTACTTCTTCTGTTCCTCAAAGTTGTAGATGAAAGGCTTGTAAGGTAAAATAAGCTCCTCTTTTATCTCAGTTGGTTCCTCTTCTAATGTAATTTGGTTTGTAGAATAGTCAAGTGTAGTCTGGTCATCCATTTACATGTTTGAAGTGAAGTTTCTAGATTTTAGTTCTGAAGTGGATTCTTTCAGTATAGTACAAATTTCTGTAGTGGCTTCATGTATCTTTTCCAATATAAGCTTATAATTTAATTGTGAATGCAAATTCTCCATTTTGATAGCAGTTAGTAATAGTTTTTTGTTTTATTTATTTGTTTTGTTTGTGGAGGCTGTATTTGGTAAGAGTTAATCTATATCCACTCCCACAATTCCCACAGCTCAGTTTATCTTTTTCAAAAAAAAAAAAGGAAGGTCAGGTCTGGTTTTACTTCAAAGAAATAACAAAAGATGCAATATTAAATTTTCGCCTCAGTAAGTTGAAGAATATTTTCCAAACAGCATTGCTTTGTTTCTATCTTTAAAAGTATAGTGTGAAAGAATCTTCCAACACCAAATAGTAGTACAGTCCTTAGCAGAACAAAAAAGAGAGAAATTTCTGTATCCTAAAAAGTATGAAAATAAATTTTAATCTTATGAAACGCTTTCTTTCCCAAAAATATCAAAGCTGCTTTCTCTAGCCAGGGAAATAATTCCAATGAAGCTCTTACAGGCAGAAAACAAGGTCAAGTAGAGAGAGTAACAAGGAAAAATCTCACTCGGATTCACCACGGGGGCTCTTAACGCTTAGATGTTCTTGACTTGTGGTCTGAAGCAGCAGGATGATCAGCCATTTTACTGGCCGATCTTCTTCTCCGTCGGCCCTCAGAGATCGCCTGGACAGCTGGAGAAGTCGCCATTCCTCCGCAGCCGAACCAAAGCCTCTTCAACAGAAGTCGCACCCTCCAGGGTGACTTTCGACCCGTATAAGAGTCAACCGGCAGAGGGAAGGCTAGCCGTCGAGGAGACGAGTCTCCCCGTATGGCTAGAGTCACCGCAAACCGGAACCAGAAGTCAGGTCATCCCCTTTTGACATAATATCTCACCTATCTAAATAGATAATATGCTTAAGTTACTTCCTATCTCTTCTTGCCTTTATTAGTTCTTTCTCCTTTTGATCTATCTGTATTTTTTTTTACCTGGTCTCTGATCAGGTGATATGTTACTAGAAAATAGTTGTGTATATGAAGGAATTTTCCAATGAAGAAACTTTATGTCAGCATCTAATGGTTAAACTTATGAATGTAAAATGTCAGCATTTAATGGTAAAAGCCTATGTATCTAAAAAGTATATAAAAACCAATAAACACACAGAGACTCTCAAGCTGTCTCAAGCTGTAACAAGCAGCTCTGCAGCAGCTTCAAATCTCTGCTCAAGACATGCCTTAGTCTTTTTCTTAGTGTCTTTATAAGGGAGGAAGAGATAATGGAAGCGAGGGAGGGAGGGAAGGAAGAAAGGAAGGAAGGAAAGAAGGAAGGGACAATGGGAGGGAGAGAGGGAGGAAAGGAAGGTGCCCATGCCTGTCCCACCCCCCTCCACCAGAGACTTACAGATCCTCCCCACATCCCCGCCTGCATTTCCCATAGGCACCCCGCAACCTGAGTGATGAGCTGACCACGCCCCCCGGCCATTGACTTCGCTTGTCAAAAAGTTGCAAAAGGTGATCACATGACCCTGGGACACTGTGACCATCATAAATATGAATCAGTTGCCAAGCATCCGAATGCAAATCACATGACCCTGAGGATGCTGCAACAGTATTAAGTGTGAAAAATGGTCATAATTTGCTTTTTTCAGTGCCGTTGTAACTTCGAACAGTCACTAAGTGAATTTTTGTAAGTTGAGTACTACCTGTACTTTATCATTTTTTCCTTTTTTGGGGGGGGGCAAGTTTTTGACACCTTGCTGGGTGACTGGTGGTACTTGGATATTGCCTTATCCTAAAAGTGGTACAATGGGTGAAAAGGTTGAAAAGCCCTGACCTATACCATCTCAGACAGGTGATTGTCTAGTCTCTTCTTTAAAATTTCCAGTGATGGAGCATCCACAATTTCTGGAGTCAAACTGTTCCACTGGTTAATTGTCCTCACTGTCAGGAAGTTTCTCCTTAATTCTAGATCACCCAGTTGGATCCAGTTCCTGCATTAAATCAGGTGAAATGGCATTAGTTGATCCAAAAGGCAAATCCTGCACCTGTGGGGAAAATGTTAGAACAATGTCTATGGAGATTCTCAGTCATCCAAGTCATCATTATCTCAAAAGTGTTTGTTTTTTCAAAAGGCAACTGAATTATGTTTTTTCATTGAGGAAGAAGATGTTTCATTCTCACCCAAAAAGCTTGATCAGTTCTGACTGATGATTAGGAAGATTTTATTACAACCTTTCAATATGTATGGTGTCAGTTTGTATAGTGTTCTTGTCATGTAAAACTCATGTTACATATGGGATTATTTCCAGAAATCCTTCTATAATAGGCTAGTTATATTTGTAGTTATTCCAGAGGCATTACTCTTGCTAAGAGTTTCCTTAATGCTATTTAAGAGTCTCTTAAATACAAACACCACATCTACATCCTTATATGCCGCCTTTTCTCTTTTACAGAGAAAGAGTCAGCAACAAAACCTTGTGTTATCTAAACATTTCTATCTATCAGGCTATTTTTTTCCTCTATATGATACCTTCCCAGTGATAATATGGTGCTGTGATCACAGCTGGAAGCCAGCTCTGATAATCTGCAACTTGCATGTATTCCTTTTGTGCAGTGTGTCAGAATCCAATTATATTTCATCTCTAGTTATCAACTATAGAAAACCCCATTTCTGCCTTCTCTGGATTCTGTCATACGATGAAGGGAAGGGGGTGAACAAAGGGGCTTTATGGCCCTCACTTCCTTCAGTACACTTCAAAGGGACTGGATGTGGATATCACCAAAAGGACTAACTATAACAATGAGGCTATTACCTTTCATGTAGTTTTCTTTGAAGTCTCCATCCAGCCGGCAGTAAGGAAAAGGGGGTGGGAATGTAATGCCTGAGACTGTCACTGGAAGAAGGAGGTGATTGGGTGGGGCTACTGGGGAACCCCTTAAAACCTTGAATGGGAGAGCTTGGACCCCAAGTCCTGTCTAGAATGCCTGCAACCATTTACTCTTAATAAAGGATGCTTGTTGGAAGAACTATTCCAAGAGTTCTGTCTTCTTAAGATGCAAAGTGGGGTGATGTATATAATTTATGAATTCTTAGCATAGTTTAAAGCACAGAAGATCCCTACCTTTCAGCTACATATGAACTCTCAGCATGGTAATGTCTTTAAAGAAGATTGTAACATTTTATCTGCTTTTTTTTTTACAACAACCACAATTCAATTGGATTGGTGTGGGTTTGCATGTGTTTAAAAAAGAAATATATATTGCAAGGCAATTTCTCCTGCATATTAAAACATGGTGTTACAGAAAACATAGTTTTTTAAGTAAGAATGCCAGAATGCTGAAAAGGAAAGGATCCTATGTCCTAATCAGAAATAGATCCAATATTTATATGTCTTCCACTAATAAAAATAATAATAAATTGCAGAGCAGTTCCACATCTAATTGAATGTCACAATACCAGTGAGTAATTGCACTGTCTATGAAATAAATTTGTTTCAAAGTCAAAATGTCATCTTCCTGTCAAATAATCCCATAAACAGAGCTGGAGAAATTGTACTGTGTCTGGAAAGAGATATGCCCGGAATCCTAGTCATTACCAAGACATGACTTCCATTGTAATTAACTGCCTGTCACAATAGCTTCCTTGTGCTGTGTTGCTGCTTACCTGCTGTCACATATAAACTCATTAACATTTCTGTTGATGCAATACTATTTCTCAGGTTAACCTTTCCTGCACAGTAGGATAAAAGTCCTTCTTGCTGATGGATCCTGTAACATCACTTTCAGTACTTACTCAGAAGCTTCACATTTCTTTTTTCTTCATTTATGATTAAATTACAAGTAAAGTTGAACACCTGGCTTTTCTAATGACAGGTTGGCCTTTCCATGCACTGAAAATGTAAGATGTCTTTCCTTGGCAAGGAGACTCCAGATTATTGCTTCAGAACAGAGCAACATCTGGAACTCTTCTCCACTGAAGTTTATTCTTAGCTTTGTTTGTATCACCTACATTTATTTCAGTTATTTAGTATTTACTGAACAATTTATATGCTATCCTTCTGATGATCCCAGTTTTCTGTGGATAAAACTGGAATCAGAGGATTAAATAAAGATTATTATGAACAAATGCAAAAAATTCTGGGGTGATTATAGCATGTCTTGTCATAATTAAGTCCTTCTGTTCCAGGTAGAGCTGCAACTGGCATACAAGCCATAGCTGAGTGAAGGTCCTCCTGGCCATGGCTCCCATCTGCATATCCAACAGTGGCTGTGACTTTATAGAGGTGAACCTTTTCCTCCCAACTTTCTTGTGCTTTTTAGAACAAAAGAAGAATAAATTAAAAGGTAGGACCATTTTTAATTAGAATTGAAATGGAATGAGGGGAAAGATTAATCTAATGATAGCAGTGTTCCACTATCTCAGGGGCTGCCACAAAAAAGAGGGAGTCAAGCTATTTTCCAAAGTGCCTGAAGACAGGACACTAATCAAGGAGAGAAGCAACCTAGAAACTAAGGAGAAATTTTCTGACAGTTAAAACAATTAACTAGTGGAACAACCTGTCTCCAGAAGCAGTGAATGCTCCAACACTGGAAGTTTTTAAGAAGAGACTGGACAGCCACTTGTCCAAAATAGTATAGGGTTTCCTTCCTGAGCAGGGGGTTGGACTAGATGACCTCCAAGGTCCCTTCCAACTTTATTATTATTAATATTATTATTGTTATTGTTATTATGTTTTTTCAAAGCTATAGGAGTCTTGCTAGAAGGAAGATATAAAACTTCATTTCCAGATGATATTATGTTAGAGAATTTTAATTTCTCTATTGGTGAAAAATAAATCAGAAGCTCTCACAGTTGACTGCATTTAGCTGATTCAAATAACTTTATATTTATATAAAAATATTTACAATACCATTCTTCTTTACAGCAACATAGCTTAATGAAGACTTCTTACAGAGACAGATCAGAGACAAAACCGGAGACTGGAAATCCAGCTCCTAACTCAATACCCTTTTTGCACAGACTCAGTAGCCCTTTCTTCATATTGGCTGACTGAATTACCACATGACTCTTCCTGTTCATGAATATTCCAACACTCCTCCCTTCATGACAGGAAGAGACATCAGACCTATTGATTTAATACATTCTTTAATCGTGAAAAACCTTGTGCCATTAACCTGGCCTCATTATTTGGCAATACCTTTTTTTATATATATACCCACTTACAACCCACAGCTTTGGTTCCCTGTGGCAAAGTCACTGATTTAAATACTTCATGGTCTCCCATGGATTTCATCTCTTTGTCCATGGCCTCCTTCCATCTTTCTTGTTTAGCTTTTGTTAATGCCAACACTTCTTTATAACTTCTTGGCTCATACCACACATTGCAAACCTTTACCTTGCTGGCAGAGTACCTGTCAGGCGGAATTCCTTTGCTACATCGCTCTGACCTATGTGGTATTAACTGCTCCTGTGTCTCAAGTCTTTCTGGTTTCATGTCTTGTTCAGACTCTCCTCTCTGAACATTGACATCTTTAATAATCCTTTTATCTTTAGATGAGTTGTCATTAATTAGATCACCATCATTAAGTGAGACATACCCAGAATTTGCATTAATTCTGTCCCAATTTTGTTCTGCAAAATTAGCAGACCTTGAAATTATAATTCTTTTACTTCCATTGCTAAAGCGATATCCTTTTGACCCTGGCTCAAAACCCACAAACGTGAGCTTTCTTGCCTTTTGCTGTCCCTTTCTTCTGATTGCTTTTGGAATATGTACCCATGCAGTACTTCCAAAAATTCTCAAATGTGCCAGTGATGGCTTTCTCCCATATAGAATGGCATATGGAGTATTATTAATGGAGGAACTCCACAGCCTGTTAACTATATAATTGGCAGTCAATATGGCTTCTCCCCAATATGACCTGCTCATACCAGAATCCTGTAATAATGAATCTTTCATTGTTTGCAAAACACTATTCCTTCTTTCAGCTACACCATTCTCTGCTGCTGTGTAAGGATTTGTACGTCTGTGTCTTATCCCCAACTGCCCCAACCATTGTTGGAATTTAGTTGACATAAATTCAGTACCTCTGTCAGTTTGCAACTGACACACTTGCTGTCTGTACCTTCTCTCTACAAAACTTACCCACTGTTTGAATTGTTGTAGCACCTCTGTCTTTGCTCTAAGCAAGTAGCAAAATGAATACCTGCTATAATAATCAACAATTACCAGTGCATATTTTGCTCCTCCCAAACTGGCTTGCATAAGTCCCACCAGATCTGCATGGACCAGCTCTAGAACTCTTTTTGTTTGTCTTGTGCTACATTTACTAACTGGGAATGCCTTTGACTTTGATGCTTTGCATACTGCACAGTCCAAATATGTTTTGCATCCCTTCAAATTTAGCCCTTCTGCAAAATCTTGCATTTGCTGCAAAACTTTAAAGCTTGCAAGGCCAAGTCTTCTATGCAGAAGATGAACACATGAATCATGCTCTGCAACATTCTTAAATATATGGGAACATTAAACCTTTTGTCCCTGCAATACATATAGATTATCTTCCTTTATGCCTTCTGCACAAATATTCCCATTCCTTTTGATGAGACACTTCCCATTTACAAAAATGACCTCAAAACCTTTTTTGTCTAAATTAGACACACTTAACAAATTATGTTCCCTCTCAGGTACACAAAGCACATTGGTAAACTTTGATTCCAAATATGGAATTTTTACATCGCCTTTTCCAATGACTTTTGCTTTCTGGCCATTTGCCAAAGCCACAGCTTCTTGTGCTACTGGAACAAACCTGCAAAATAATTCAGAGTCATTAACAATTGTTTGACTTGCCCCACTATCTATTAGCCACTTGTCTCTGTTGTTGCTATAGCAAACTTTTGCAACACCAAAATGTTCCTTTTGCAAATTAGTCTTCTTTGCATGCACAAATGTCCTTTGCTGCAAATAGTTCCTCTGCAAACAGTTCCTTTTTCAGATGTGTGCTCGCTCCACAAATGTAGCAATTCTTTTTTAGCTGAGCAGCTCTCTGCTTGCAAAATCTCTCCTTTGTTGCAATTTGGTCAGGGTCCGATCTGCTTGTTTCTTCTTCTCTGGAGATTTGAAATCTGGACCCCCTCCTCAGGAATTTCTCCTCCTCGTGGCTGCTTCTAAAATGACATTTTTCTTCTTCATTAAGCAAACATGCCTTTAAAGCCTCAAAATTTAAGTCTTGCTCTTCTTTACACTCAAATATTGCAGAAACTGTGTCCCAGGTTTTATCTAAACTGTTCAACACCAATAAAACCTTCTGGGACTCAGGGAATTTAATCCCACGTTGTTCTAAGTCCAAAAATAAACTTTGCATTTTATTTAAATGCTGTTCCACAGATTCACCTGGTTGCAAACAGGCTCTGTAAAGTTTTCTTGACAATTGCACTATGTTGCAAGCAGAAACATCCATGTGCACAGCTCTAAACTTCAACCAAATCTCCTTTGCAGTCTTTAAATTTGCAACATTTAGAAATTGGTCATCATCTAAATTCAAGATGAGATAAGCCATTGCTCGATCATGATTTTTCTGATCAACTGCTGCAAATACTTGTGGTGGATTTTCTATAATATACCACAGCTCTTTTGCTTTGAGCAAACATTCCATTTTTACAGCCCATATAATGTAATTCTTCTGGCCCAAACAAGGCACACAGTTTTCCTTAAATTCCATTGCAGCCATTCTGCTAATTCTGCCTTGTTCTTATACTTTCTAAACACAGGCAATTTCTTCCAGCTTTAAATTACAATGCAGTCCTTAGTAAGCTCTGGGCCCATAACCTGTTAGAGAATTTTAATTTCTCTATTGGTGAAAAATAAATCAGAAGCTCTCACAGTTGACTGTATTTAGCTGATTCAAATAACTTTATATTTATATAAAAATATTTACAATACCATTCTTTTTTACAGCAACATAGCTTAATGAAGACTTCTTACAGAGACAGACCACAGACAAAAGCAGAGACTGGAAATCCAGCTCCTAACTCAATACCCTTTTTGCACAGACTCAGTAGCCCTTTCTTCACATTAGCTGACTGAGTTACCACATGACTCTTCCCGTTCATGAATATTCCAACATATTGTCAGACTGTACTCCAGAAATAAATAGAACTCTTATCATTTTATGACTATATGTGCAACCTCTTTTAAGAATTTCAACAAATATGTTTTAGCAACAAATGGAACTATGTTAGTAATGTATATTAGTACCTCTTCCCTGTCAGCCACGTGTACATCTATATTGGATAGATAAAAAAATAGATAGAAAGATAGAAAGATGATATAAATAGATAATATAGAACTACCAATGCCTTCATAATTAGATTCATAAAGGGGAAAGTTTTTTTCCTTCACAGCACACTGTAACTTATGGGATAAGCCAAGCCCCCACAGGCAGAGTGTATGTAAATAAAAAATTGGGAACTTCCCTGAAATCCTGGAAACCAAGGCTCATTTAGATTAAGAGTGAGCATTGAGTGCCTAATGAGCCATATGCAGTTCCCAATCCCATTTTAGCAGACACCAGTCCCACAGGATAATACCATTAAGAATTAGCATCAAAATAATGATTTCTTGTATCCTTATTGCCTATGTTTTTAAAACACTGTAAGACTCTGAACAGGTTTCTCAATAGTAGCCATTTTTATTTAGCAGTACTCAAACTCCCAGCTTGTTCCAACTGTCCCACCTCTAGTGATGACATTGTTACATTCATTGCAGCCATCAGAGTATAGCCCATTGCTACAAAACAAAACAAGATAGTTTATCTCTGCTATTATTGCTATGCTCTGCTATTATACCAGATACAACAGTGGTCTAACTTTACACAAGATAGTTTTCTATGCTTCTAGCCATGTTTTATATAAGAAAATATACAACTTTTTCTAGTTCTTAAAAAATTAGTGAATGTTAAAATCTAAACTTGAAGAGTCTAACATTTTGAATTTCCCATAATCATCACTGAGGAAAGTATAGAGTTGTGCAATGGAACATGAAAAATGGAAGATGTTTGATAAAACAGGTAGATAGCTATTAAAAAATCAAAGCAGATCACAAATAATAATAAATAGCTGCATATCCAAGGGTGAGATTTCAAGTGTCTAGCTGCAATTTTGGGACCACGTTTTATTCATAAGTTACTGTGAAAATTGATTGTATTGTCAAGACAATAGCAAATTATTTCACCAATCTTATTTTGAGAGGTACTGAGTCATGTTATTCAAAGCATTTGAAACTGTACTGTTCTCCAAACAATTTAGTCTAATTAGAACTTTTACCAATAGAAAGTACACTTAAATATACAAATGTTTAATTGTTCCAAGCATTCAAAACAATCAGGTGCATGATTTTTTCTCTGTAGTCTATCATAAAAATTTAGATTATTGGAAAATATTATACATTAGAAAACCAGGATCCATCATGACATCCTGATGGAGTTATTTAAGGAGATAAAAATATGTGGTGGCTTGTAGACAAAAAGACTTGTAGGGCTGGGGTAGTGTAAGGTCACTGGCTCTTACTTAAATTTGAGATACCATTAAAAGTCTAATCAGGCATCTCAAATGGAAGCTTCTTGAGGAAACAATGCTTTAATTGATCAAGTAAAACAGCTGGGTGACAAACAATCTGGAATGCTGGCAGTTTCTTCCAGAAATGCCACACCTTAGAAAGTTAGTAGCATTGCTTTATAAACTTTGTTAGCCAATCAACATGAAAGAAATAAAAGTTATTCTTTTAATAATTGTAGAAATAATTGTAGAAATGTAATGCCATTATATGAAACTGTCTCTTTAGTATAAATGTAACAATGCAATGCCAATATATGACCAAATGTTTACTATTTCCTGCCTAAAAATCCTCTGGACACAGGAACTTACACTTTGAGTAGAAATCCTACTATCAAAGAGGGGGATTTTGACCCAAGGTGAGAATTACAAATAAACAAGATAACAGCAGATGGACGAAGAGGTCAGGTTAACAAAGTACAACTTCAAAGTAAATTTATAAAGATGAAAGAGCTTCTTAGATGTGACATGCATTGTAGGGGTATAAAATGCAGATCTTGAAACCAGGCCAGTGTGCTCCTGGAATCGAATCCATAGGGAAGGATCCAGGGGGGCGCATTTGCAAATACTCCTCTCTTCTATTCTTTTTCTTTTCTATTTTATTCTGTTTATGTTATTCTCCAATAAACCTTTGTTTTGTTAACCAGACTTGTCTTTGTATTGTGAGTATCAAAATTTGGGGTTTTTACATCTCACAATCTTGGTGGAGAATGTGGGCATTAAGAGCTTCTAGGGGACACTGTTCTCAGTAAAATCAGCAGCGCGCCTGTTGATTTCAACTGCCTGGAGTTATCTGAGATCTATTTTCCCTTTGCAGGCTCTGAGCCAAACTAAATTGACAACTCCTGTTTACAAAAATCAAAGGACAGGAAATAGGAAGAAAGCCAACAACTGAAGCCCAGACCAGGTAACCCAGTGCACTGGCCCAGGTAAAGACTTTTGCCCCAAAGGAGGGAAGCATGCAATTGTACCTGGGTGGTCAGGAGAGCGATTGTGGGAGGATTTCTGCAAATAACGGCTGTGTGAGTGTGATGGGCTGTGTTCTGGGAACACTGGTAAGTCCAGAGGAGTGCGGACCTGAAAGGTTGAGATCCCTTACTCCCGCAAGGGGGAAGGCCAGCCTGAAGGGAAGCAAACTGGTGTTAAGAGTTTTGAGTGGCTGTCAAATCGAGAACCTCAGGGAACCATAATCAGGGAAACTCTCAAGAAGATGGGTTGTTGTTGTAAGTCGTTGTTGTAAACCAAAAGAAAAAAAATAACTGTAAAACTGAGGAAACAGGAAAACCCATCTTGCTAGCAGCAGATGCTTTGTGTCTGTGAATGGGTTTCCCAGGCTCTGCCCATGTGGAGCTAGGGTAGAAAAGGAAGTTTTGGGAAATAAGGGGAATGAGAGAAATGTGTGTATGTCTCTCTGTGTGAGTGAGAAGACCTTTTTCCCAAGCAGTTTTCTGTTCTCTTTTCCTTGTCTTGGCATGTATATATGTGTCAAAGTCTTTGTGTGTAAAGTAAATATGACTGTTATTAACCTCAAGAGAAAAGAAGATACCAAAGAAACATCCTCACTCTGTTTGTCTGGCCAACAAACAAAGTGAAGAAAGATGTGTTTGTTTGTTTATTTATTTTTTCTCTCCCTCTTAAGAACAGCCCAAAGTTACATGCTCAGGCAGGAAATCCTATACCATTTTCTTGCCTATTCTGCTCTCTCCCTTTTGCAAATGTTAAGTGTGTTAATGCCTTTTCAAACTCTATCTGCAGACACAACCCCCTTCCTCCCCTGCTTTTTTCTGGCTGTGTTGCTTTGAGAGGGAGAGAGAGAGAAAGGAGAAGGGGGGTTGATCTTTTTAACTTTTTCTCTGCTTAGAATTCAGGTTTGAGAAAGGTGGGGTGGCTGTGAAAATGTAATGCCCACTTTTGCAATTTTTTCTATTCAAAAGAGGGGTCAGTAATTGTTGGACAACTTTTTTGGGAAATTTTTGAGTTTAAATTGTTTAATATCAACCAAAAGAAATGATTCTAAATTGTTTTGCTTAGATTTATAGTTGTTTTCCCTATTTAATGAAAATTTGTTTCCATCTGAATGGAATTTGATTAAATTGGAATTTAACTAACTTTATATTAAAAGCAATACTAGAGTTTGAAAAAAAACCTATTTCAGTAACTCAGAATATCTTATTAAACTTGTTTATTTTTTTGTGAAGTTAAAACAAAGAAGTTGAGAAAAATTTTGGGATTATAAATAGCTATGCTGTTTTGATTAAAGATTTGTATGCAAAACTGTTAGAAAAAAAGCTTGTGTTAACAAATTCAAACAGGGTTTGGTGAGCTCTCCTTTGTTGGCTCTTCACTTAGGTAATTTATTTATAAACAAGGACAAAGGTTGGAGGAGGTTTTGACCCAGAAGTGTGGGGGGGGCAGGGGGGAAAGGCAGCCAGTGGTATTTTTATCTAAAATTAACATTTGGGGACATTTTGGTGGTTAGCATTTCTTATCAAGTGTGGACAATTTTAATCAGGAAGCCTAAAGGAGGTATACACTTGTTCATAGCAAAGTAGTTGGAAAAAGAAAAGAAAAGAACAAGAAAAAGTGAGACATAATGAAGATACGATAGTAGATGGGGAAGGAGGGATTACCAAGAATTGAATTAAAAGATAAAATAATTAGAAAATATGTACTCGAACTGTCCAGATATTTTTCTCTCCTGCGACAGAAAGGCATTCTTGCCCAAACTCCACCCTTGGACTTTGCAGTACACCAATACAAAGCAGGACAGTGGGTGTACTAACTCCAACCTGGGAAGGACTTTACATTGTCTTGTTAACCACTGAGACAGCTATCCGGACAGCTGAAAAAGGTTGGACCATTACTCCTGAGTAAAAGGGCCCATGCCAGCCCCAGAGGAGTGGAAGGTGGAATCTCACCAAGGAGATCCACTGAAGCTAAAGTTCCGAAGGACTTCATGGACTAATAGTCAATCTTCCTGACAGAAAGGGGGGTAATAGAGGAAAAAAGACTAAACTTTATATTTCTTTTTTTATCTAGAACCAAAAGAAAACCAAGACCTCCTGCATGTGCTGATTTTGTGGGTGTCTTTGTGGGTGTTGTTGCTGCTCTCACTGTGTTAATTGTGTTCAGTGCACAGGGTGTGAGATAGAGTGTGATATTAAGTCTTAGAAGATGTATTGGAACATTACAAGGTGGTATGTCTGGGGGGGTTCTTATTATACTCTTAAAACCTGTCCAACCATTAGAGTCATGTAAGCAATGTGTAAAAATGACAAAGGGAGAAGGAGAAAATATACACTGACTCCAAATATGTTTATGGAGTCTTGAATACTGGTGGAAGAAGAAAAGAAAGAAGTTATGCTAGAGTGGCAGACGGGAAGGAAGGAATGGATAATAGAAGAAAGAAACAGGAAAGTTGTTTTAAGTTGGTTTGCACAGACTTGTGAATTGCATGCATTAAGCAGGGAGACTGCCATTAACGTGGTCAGCCCAAACGTGTGAATTGTATGCCTTAACACAAGCCTTAGAATACTGAAGGAACAAGAATGTACTAAAGATGGGAGGTGGATGTTGCAAGATGGGAGAGGGTTCTTGAAAAGAAAAAAGAAAAAACAACAACAAAACAATGGCTAGAACACAGAAGCAACCACTGAAGGGGGGTCACAAGGATGATTAATATTTTCTAAAACAGGATGGTTGTATTTATACTTTAGTTAAACAAATATGTGATAAAATTCAAGTTAAAAAAAAAGCTTTACAACATTTAGTGGTGAGGCCATGTCAATATAGGCCTCAACTGAAAAGTTGTTTTTGTTTCTTTGAAATGGGAGGCTTTTGTTACATGAAAGTTCAAGAATGTCAATGAAGAAGAGAAGAAAGTTACTCAGTATTTGCATAATGTGGTGCAGGTTTTGTCTTCTATCTCAGTACAGGCCTAGGCTGCCTTACCACCTGTCTCTGGCCATTGTTCCTGGAGAGTGGATTCAGGTGAAAAGAACTGTCACCTAGAAATACCAGTCCTGAGTGGTCTTAACCATGCCAAGTCCTCCTGATTTAAGGAATCAAGGCGTGAGTCCGTGGAAAGTCCTACCATATCCTCTCCAGTGAAAAACTCTGCAGCTGGACGGCCTGAAAATGAAATTTCAACCTGCCTCACCTGTTGAATTGTTTCCATCTAAGTGGGAGAAAAACTTCAATGGATAGGACGTGTTCCTAGAACCTGGACTATGTGTTGAAAAGTTTTTCTTCTGCTACTGTTGTTTCCTTAGTACCTTCTTCGGTAGAAGGAAGGACCATGGGCCCAATACTTTAAGGAACATTGGGGAAAGAAGACTCAGAATATGAAAACTTGCTTGCACAGGAATCGAAAGAAAATATAGGAAGTTATGAACTGTTAAAAGTATAAAAGAATAAATTCAGGTGGAAGAAAAAAAGGGAGGATTGAAGGAAATAAAAATTATTCTTTTAATAATTGTAGAAATAATTGTAGAAATGTAATGCCATTATATGAAACTGTCTCTTTAGTACAAAGGTAACACTGTAACACAAATGTAACAATGCAATGCCAATATATGACCAAATGTTTACTATTTCCTGCCTAAAAATCCTCTGGACACAGGAACTTACACTTTGAGTAGAAATCCTACTATCAAAGAGGGGGATTTTGACCCAAGGTGAGAATTACAAATAAACAAGATAACAGCAGATGGACGAAGAGGTCAGGTTAACAAAGTACAACTTCAAAGTACATTTATAAAGATGAAAGAGCTTCTTAGATGTGACATGCATTGTAGGGGTATAAAATGCAGATCTTGAAACCAGGCCAGTGTGCTCCTGGAATCGAATCCATAGGGAAGGATCCAGGGGGCCGCGTTTGCAAACGCTCCTCTCTTCTATTCTTTTTCTTTTCTCTTTTATTCTGTTTATGTTATTCTCCAATAAACCTTTGTTTTGTTAACCAGACTTGCCTTTGTATTGTGAGTATCAAAATTTGGGGTTTTTACATCTCACAAAAATCAGACAACAGAGCCATTACATTATAAGCAAGACATCAATCATTCCTCTACACTCCCTTATTCTCTCCTTCAGTACACCCCATCCATGTACATGTTTCCCATGCTTGCATGAAATTTGTCCCTGATGCAAATGCTGATTACAGAAGCAAGATAGCAATAGTTAGGCTAAAAAATTTCTTTTTGTTCCAGTTACAGGCCCCTTCAGTAGGAAATAGAGGGTTATCCTCTGACCCTTTCATGAGTTATCCTTTTTAATGTTTTTGTCTCAATTTCTTTCAATCTGAAAGAAATAAGTATTTCCAATTCCAAGACTTCCTTCAGAAGTATTGTTTCACAACACATGGATGATAATTGGATATTCCTTTTTTGAATTTCTACAGCAATCACCTCAAACTGAAGAGCTTGCTTCTGGAATAATTTATCTTTGTTTTCTTCTATATGAAGTGAGATGGCTGTAGTTGCATACATATGAGGGACAACTAAGAGCAAGTCTGAAGCAGTTGAATAAGCTTTTCAAAAATGATGGCTTCTTTAAGTATCAGAAAAGAGTGGCCTTATGCATGCTCCTGCAGACTTAGAAATACCCCTTCCAAAGTTTTTTTAAATTCTTTCTGGAGATGAGTCAAAAGATAATATCATTCTCCAGTGCATTCCAGTATACCCCTTTCTCTTTCCATTTTCTTTTTCAACCTGTGAAATGGAAAGTTTATTTATAGAAAGGAAGGTTGGCAATGGAAATATGGAGTCATGTCACAGGGGTGGTACTGAAATGTTTTGCTTTTATTGAGACTGGTGGGATTGATTTTTTGCCCTTTTTATTTTGTTAAGCATATTTTAGGGTTTCAGAACTCTTGGAATAATTCTTCCAACAGGCATCCTTTATTAAGAGAAAATGGTTGCAGGCATTCTAGACAGGACTTGGGGTCCAAGCTCTCCCATTCAAGGTTTTAAGGGGTTCCCCAGTAGCCCCACCCAATCGCCCCCTACTTCCAGCGACAGTCTCAGGCATTACATTTCCCACCCCCTTTTCCTTACTGCCGGCTGGATGGAGACTTCAGAGAGAACTACATGAAGGTAATAGCCCCATTGTTATGGTTAGTCCTTTTGGTGATATACACATCCAGTTCCTTTGAAGTGTACCGAAGGAAGTGAGGGCCATAAAGCCCCTTTGTTCACCTCCTTCCCTTCATCGTATGACAGAATCCAGAGAAGGCAGAAATGGTATTTTCTATAGTTGATAACTAGAGATGAAATATAATTGGATTCTGACAGACTGGTAGGATTGATTTTTTGCCCTTTTTATTTTGTTAAGCATATTTTAGGGTCTTTGGGAGATGTATTTTCTTGCTCCAAATGATGAGCAATCAGGTGCCAAAATTTGATAAATCTACCAAGGAAAACTGACAGTGTAATTGGAAAGAGTTCAGGGACTGCAAAAAAGTTTTGAGAAGCTTTGTGTAACCCAGCCAATGGAGACTGAGTAACTGAGCAGAAAACAACTCAGTTTCAATAGGATACAGCAGCTATACCAGGAAATAAGTTACTAAAGGAACCATGCTAGTTTTCAACAGAATTTTCAACACAAATTTGTTTCAAACTTTTTTTCTTTAATAAATGTTGGATTTCTTTGTTTTAAGTAGAAAGAGACATCTATTGCAAGCTTAGAAGCTATGAAATCAATTTTGTATTAAATGTTGTATCTATATATAATGTTGATTACTCTTTATTTGTAATGAAATAGAAATAGCTTTTATCCATCATGCTATAAGGTTGGGAGGAAAAGAGCCCTCATATATTTGCTTGTTTATGCTGTAATTTGATGGCAGGCAAATAGATATTACAATATGTTAAATTACAGGAAGAGGCGTCTAGAGTATTTGTCGCAGTTCAGCATATACTTCTAATTTAAGAACTAAATTAAAGTAATTTGGCTCCATTATTAACATTTGCTGTACTCTCTTAGCCTAATTTTATTTTTTTTAGTTTTTAATCACAATTGTTATTACATATTAATTGTATTTTAATCTTACTGTGTGCTTCCTAGAGTCATTATCTTGTGACATAGGTGGTCAAGTAAATTTGATAAGTCAACCAATAAACTTTTATGATTCTGATGATAATATAGAGTTATAAAACTATAAGAAAATGGGGACTTCCGGTGGATTTGCGCGCGCGATGGCGGCTACTTTGTAGCCGTCCTCCTGGGAAAGTGTAAGAACCGCTATGAACAGTAGACATCAGCTGTTCTGCGGTTCAAAATCTCCCTCCCGGGCAAAGGGAGGGAGAAGAGTATCATCCGAATAGTGGTAGAGCCTCTTACGCACCCCCAAGGCTTTTTGGGGGGGGGGGGTGAAAAGAGTGCTCCCACGGAGTTCAGATTGTCTCCGCTTCCCAGCTGCTTTTGTCTCTAGGGACAAAACAAGCCGCTGCAACCACCTCCGCGATTAAAGAGATCTGGTGAGTTTTCTTAAAAAAAGCGGACAGAGCTGAGTAGAGGATTTTGTTTTTTCTGATTTTATTTGGATTTTAAATTTAAAGATTTACTTTTATTCCCTCTTTTTGTTTTTTTCTTTTGCTGAAAGGGAAAGTAAAATGGCGATCGGCAGGCTTTTTGGTGTTGTTTTTTTCTTTTTTTGACTGGAACAGAATGGAATGGATTTGATTATTTATAATGATGTTGGGTTTGGATTTTAGGAGGATTACTTTCCCTTTCTGTTTAACTTTTTTTATTTCTTGAAGGATTTTTTTTTTGTTTTTTGTACTTTTTTAAAAAAAACAAAAAACGGAATGGACTTTTTTTATTTATTTATTTTTTCTTTCCTCTCTTTTCTTTTCTTTCTTATTGGATTTTATTTGGACTTTAGTTTGACCTCCCCCCCTTTTTTTTCTCTTTTTAGGTAATTTTTAAGAAGATTTTTTAAGATGGCTCCAAAGCGTCCAGTAATTCCTACAGCTCCTAAGGTGGTCTCTTCTTCGGTGATATCATCAGTGCAACAATCTAAATTAACAGCTTCACCCTCTTCTTTGGCACAGCTATTAACGGTAAAGGAGTTGCAAGACATAATGGGAAATGCTATATCCCAAATCAGGGGAGAAGTGAAAGAGATTTTAGCGGAAAATAATAGGATTCTGAGGCAAGATATAGTTTTGGCTTTAAAAGAAGTTGCCTCTGTTCTTGAAAAGTTGAATTTTCATGTAGAAGAGGTGGTAGAGAAAGTGGAGCTGTTGGAGGGAAATTTGAAGGTATGGAAAAAGAGATGGAAAATTTTCAAGATGAGATTCTTATGCTTCAATATAGATAGATGGAATATGCTTTAAGAATCAGAGGCCTGAGGGAATCTTTGCAAGGAGATCTGAGAGAGATGGTTGCAAATGACTTTGCTGTGATACTGGATAGAGAAAAAGAGGAAATATTTAGTGCAATTGAAAAAACTCTGTGGTGGCAAAGCAAAGAAATCTGCCAAGAGATGTGGTGATTTATTTTGGGAAAAGATCCCTGCACAATGAAATTATACAAGCTTTTTACAATAAGAGGTTTCAGATTGCTTCACAAGATATTATAATTTTAAAGGGGATCCCATCTAAAATTCTAAGAAGAAGAAAGGAGTTTGCTTTCTTAGCAGATGAGCTTAAAAAGAGACAAATGTTGTTCAGATGGGATGTCCCAACTGGAATGGTGGTGAACTATCTGGGGACACATTATAGACTTAACACTGTTTTCAAAGCAAAAGAGTTTTACACTTCGGTCCTGGGGGTATGTTCATCGCCACCTATCATTTCGGAAGAGAGGAAGGTAGAATTGCAGTCTGAAGAGCCTATATTGATGAAAATTGGGAAATCTCAGATCGAGGGGCCTCAACAAGTTGAGATGAAGGAGCAGAGGATAACTCGTGCAACACATAAACGTAAAGAAAAGGAGCAACAGAAGAAGGAGCTTAAGGAAGCCTCACAAGTATTTGTTTCTGAGACTGCGGGAGAAGCAAGATTTATAAACTTTTTGGGGCAACCTTTAAGGGCAGATTTTTAAGCACTTCTTTCGAGGCTTTTGGATAAGAGAGAGTGATAAAAGGATTTGGTTATTGGTAAAGAGGAGAGATGTTTTAATGGTATAACTAACGCTTATATATTTGTTTTTGTGGTTGATGGTAAAGAAAGAGGGAGAGATTAGATTTTATATAATATAAGTATGATATTAGGGAGATTGAATGAAAATTTTAGATAGATAGCGTATGTTTAGATATTTAAGGAGTACTTAAAGGAATGTTTTGTTTTAATATGTATAAGGGAATTTTAATGTTATAAGTAATGTTTATATGTGTGTTTTTGAGAGTGTTTATAAAGAATGATGGATAAATTTTGAATAATATAAGTATGACATTAGAAAATGTTCAGAGTATTTTATAATGTGTCTAATGATTATATTGGTCTTAAAGTATTTTATAAATTGTTTAATTATTGTAATTAATTGTTTATGGTATATAGTTTATATGTGTATCTTTGAATTTGATGACAAAGAAAGAGGGATAGATTTTATATAATATAAGTATGATATTATGGAAATTGAATGAAAATTCTAGATAAGTAGTGTATTTTTAGATATAATTTTTCTTTTTGTTTTGTTTTTTATATATTGGCTTTAAAGTATTTTATAATTTGTTTAATTATTGTAATTAATTGCTTATGGTTTACAGTGTTTAAAATTTTTTCTTGTAAGTTTTAATTAAGCCTATATTCAGCTCTGGGAAGGTTGGGGGAGGGTTGGGGTGGGTTGGGAGGGTTTGGGGTGGGGGATTTCTTTTTTCTTCTGTAAAACTTCCAAAAACTTTAAAAAAAAAAACTATAAGAAAATGAAAGAAAAAATGACCCATTTGCATATACAATACATATGATTGTAAATAAATAAATATATTTAAAGTAGATTGTTTTTCACTATCTGTCACAGCAGTGTATATAATGAGTATATAATGATTCAAGGTACTGGTACCAAACATCGAAACTACAAAGAAATTCAGAGAAACAAAAGGACCTCAAGGAAGGTCCTTGAGGTCCTTTTGATAGAAGGCTATTAGGCCATAAAGTTCAAATCCCTAGTCACTGCAGGAATTAACATCCATGCATGTCAGAAAGATGGCTACCTAACCTCCATTTAAATGAAGCTCATGAAGATGAGTCTGCTATCTCTCTGGGTAATAATTTCAAACTGCAATCAATTGGTCTTTTTCTAAGATTCAGTTGGAATCTGCCATCTGCAAACTTACATAAAGGTACCTGGGAGGATGGGAATAGGAAAAGAAGCTGTGTGGAAAAAAATATTGCATCAATAAACTTCACTTCTTGTATATGTGCATGGTGATTTTGCATACATATTTTAAAGGAATGAAGCTTGTAGCACAATAATGCTGTTGTAATCAGCATCATGATGAAAACAGCAAGGTAATAATTCTTGTTATCCTTCTTTGAACCTGGTCCAGTTTCTCTGAATCCTAAAATACAGTGCTTAGAAATGGATGTAGTAATGTTGTCATTTTGGTAATAGATGTACTATATTGATTTGTAGCTGTTGGTCATTTCTATGTGATATGTATTTATTTACAACTGTAACTTATAAATATATATGAAAGATAAAGTACATGAGACTAATGCAAAATAGGTTACTGAATTAAATAGTGTGTTGTGAGAAAGAAAGTTTGGAAGTGAACTATAAAGACAATATAATACCCCTTTAAAATATAATATATTCTGGGGGGAAAATTAAAAGAAATACTGAAAAAAATTGGATAGCATAAATTGTGGCATGACTTGAATTTCACATGCAGGTTTTTCAATATCATATTGTGCAAGAATCAAACCTATAGATTTAGACCAGTGAATCAAATGACCTGCTAAATTTGGACCAATTAGTCAAGTACTTTGCTTGCAGAAGATCTGAGAAGCAGCAATCTTGGTTCCTCTGATTAAAAAGATCTGAAGAATATTATCAGCTTAGTACTCTCTTTGCTTGTTATCATTCTAAGCAATCACTGAATGGAAATATTTGTTCCAAACATTTATAGTCTTTTAAGGGCTTTGAGAAAGATAAAAATTCAACTAGCATATCTTTTCAATTACTGTATTGTGGAGGTATGACTTATAGGACTACTATCTTGTCATTCCTAAAGAGACCAAGCCTTGCTCAGTTTAACATAGGGCTTCTTCAAATCCTTCCATCTAAGAAAGGTCCACATTAAAGGCATATTTTTCAGCAGGAGATATCCAAATTCTGTTTACTATCCAAGCAATTCATATAACTTTTACATGGGGTTTTTTTGGTAAATGAAATGTCACTACTTTATGATAGTTTAACAGTTTAATTCTCCCACATAATTTTCAGTTCTATACCTAGTCCTAAGGGATACTGCTTTGTTAACCATAGGGTAATACAGAGTCCTTACATCTATTCTATATTGATTTAATTTTCATATTTCATATTTTCTTCAAATAAGAGATAGATAGAGAACTACAACTGCCATTAATCATGTATTTATGTATTACACCCTCTCGTTGCTGAGGTTTGTTGCATTTCCTATTGTAAACTCTTTCAAAAAATATGTTAGTTAAATAGGGCTGAAAATCATGCATGCATATTTAATAGGAAAAAATCCAGATGTTAAATCCAGTTTTAAGCTATAAACTATTACTTTTCTTAGACTATTAAAATATTCTGCTCCATTTAAAATGAGACAATTAATAAAATGGGGTAAGGTAATATTTTTTCAAGAGTTTAATTTTAAAAAACACATATGCAGCAAATGTGCCCCTTTGATGCATAATTCAAGTGTTTTTGTTCTGTTTTCCAAAGCAGATATAGAAGCATAACATGATATATAGGTGACTACTTGTACATTTCCAGAAAAGGATATATCAGAAAAATAAATCAGACAAATGTAGGCTAATTTCAGTGGCTAAACACTCAGAAATAGTTACTAACTTTAAAGCAGCATTTCTTAAAGTGTTTGAGAAACTTGGCACACCCAAGATTCTCTCAGGGGTCTGTAGCATAAAAATTAATTGCTAAGTATTGAAGTTATTGAAATCAATGTCAGTCTAAGCAGTATTGATAGAGAATATGGGTGAAGGATCTTCAGAAGGTACCAAGTTGTAAGAGGAAATAACTAGCTTGACCATAGAAGTAAATAATTAAATAATAGAAAAGTATCTACAATTCCAAGGACCCAGAGTATAACCACCAGAAGGGGCTTCAGAGTGAGGAATGGAAAGATTAAAGTTGCAAAATAGCTGCAAGGGGAAATTATTAGCCTAGTCACAAGAAAGGGGAGTATGAATTGTGAAAAAGTACCTGATATTCTGAAAAATAGGTGGTTTTTCTGAGAAGTGGGTTCCAGTAGTAAACAAAGCACATGCTTAATAGAATACTGCATATTGACAAACCTTGCATATATTATCTGCTAATTATAATAGCATGGAATGTATGATTTAGTATGTTTGAGGAAGATCTCAAAAAAAAATTAGGAGCCGGGCTGAGATACTGTGAATGTAACCTCATTGTACCTCAGCCATTAGGGAATGAGGAGAGATGTGGCGGCTGGGCAGGGATATATTAAAAAGGGAATAGTTTGAGTTGGAACTTTGGAGACAACCAAGCTATGATAGTGTCAAAAGTGATTCTCTTTTCACCTAGTTTCTTCTCTGCTCTTAACTTGACAACAATTGGGATGGGGTGGTTTAATTCCATGGGGTGGGAATGGAATGCCAAGAATCCATCTACAGATCATGAAACCCTGCTCCTTCCCTTCAAGGCCACAGATGTTAGAATGGTCCAGGCAGTTCCCTAACAAAAGGAGTGTATGATTGGACATGGCAATGGACTGAAGGGGATGGCCAAAGGGGGAAGTCTAGCTTAATTATATGGACATTGGAGCAGGAAATTCAGAGCTGGTTTTGCTTCTTTTGTTCCAATGTAGTGTATTCAATAAAAGTATTACTTTTGGGAAGAACTATGTCCCAGGACTTCCTTATTTGGATTTGCTAGCTGGACATTTGACAGATAGCTTTTCCCCATTTGTTGCAATAAATGAAACAAAGGTCTTCACTGTGTCTTGGCTGGTTATTGGTCAGGTGAGCTTGCCACTGGTTGTGAGGGAAAACAGCCAAAAGCACATAACAGTATGATTTTTAGTTGTAATTTTTTAATGAAAACTATTTTATTTATGTTAATATATAATGTATTTACTACTGTTATTGTTACATGATTCAAAAAATAAACATTCTACAAATGCATCAATTTTTAGTATGGTAACTATTGATAAATATTACCCATACAAACAAAAGCTCTTTTAGTGTCTTCCATAGTTTTTAAA